ATGTTAAGCTGCATCTAAAAAGGAGTGCACATCTAGAAAGAGAAACTTTCAAGATCTCTAAATACTCTAAACTCAACAACTGAAAACAGATGCTCTCTCCGCTCATATATTTTTTTTGCCCTGGCCAGCGAGAAATTTCCAGTACTTTCAATTTCTCGAAATTGCTGTGAGGCATAAACAGTTCCATAAGGCCAGATACAGTGGCAGGTCATTTAATGATTAGGGCCAATTTACTTCTATACAGGAATCACACTAAAATGCTGCCAAGCTTGGTGACTAAATTTTATACTAAATTTTGCAACAAAATTAGCTGAGAAAACTATGCTGCTATCTGGCCAATTTGGTTAGCTAAATTCAATGCATAAATAGACTTGGCCCTGTCACATTTTTCTGGTAGTGGTTTGCTTTCTTGAGACCTTTCATATTACATTATAAAAGAAATTACAATGTACATATAACAGGGTTGCCACTCAAACAGGAGAATGAAATTCCCTGACTTTTCCAGGTATGTTTTGAAAAAATTCCAGTCTATTCGCATAATGTACATTGGCTGTGCTAAGAGGTAATTAATTATAGTATTACTTGTACTGTGTAACCAATCTCACTTAATTATTCCATAATCCAGAGGACATTTATTCTTAATTATTCTGGTACCCTTGTTTGAATATTTTGTTTACTTTCCGCTTCAAATCCTTCATAAAATTTAAGATATATACATTGGATACACTGTACGTTTTATTTAATATTACTCATGAATCACCCCGTTCAACACGAGGCTAATCTCGGTTTCTTCGAATCACAACGCAATGCTAAGAGTTAGGTTAGATTTTAGATATTTAATTTGTATGAGGTGTATCTAAAGGCACCTAACACTTGAAAACACAAATATAATTATAATAGGATTTGTTTTCTCACTGAAGATTGAGATTAGAATTCTGCCCACTCTGGAATAAAATAAGGCTTTTTTACAGACATCCTGCGCGAAAAACCAGAAATGAAATCTTTTTAATGATATTTTTTTACTAAATTGAGGTATTTTTATTTTATTCGCAGTCATAACAAAAGAAACATATTGTTCATTAAATTTCGTGATGTCCATCATACTACTAGAATAATTTCATGATTATGCCAGAGAAAATTCCTAAATTGAGAAATATATTTTACTAATTATTAAATTTTAGAGGAAGAAGGCAACATTAAATATATATAACTAAAAATAAAATATTACTTAAAATTTATTAGAATAATCACGATCTTTTGAGCGAATATGTTATATTCAATGGTTATCCTAATGATTGATTACTATTTTTTTATTTACGCAAAATGACAAGTTTTATTAAAAAGAAAAGAAAAGAAAAAAAGATTGTGCGGTAAAATCCTAGTATAACGATCCGGCCTTCGCATGATTTTTTGAAATTGTCGCCAAGAACAAAATGATACCCTTTTACTGCTCATCATCATGTCGCCAAATCCCGCTTTACCATACATGGAGAATTATTCTGAACCAAAGACGTTCATTAAAAAGCGGAGGGAAAACTTGCCAAGCTGATTTGACGACGAACGGCCATGAAGTTTCCCTCTTCGCGATGTGTACACACTAGAAATTGAGGAAACACGTGTTAGAAAAACGTTTTGACAAAAAGGAACTAAACGAAATCCGTTTAAATTATTCGAAAAATCCAAGAAGAACGTTTTATCAAAGAACGTTTTTTTTCTTGGATTTCCCCCTCACAATACTAATCCATTGAATTAATTACTTGCGCCAAAAATATTTTCTTTCCTTAAGCACATTTAAACAATGTATTCATTTTATGACTTTTGATAACGTGACCTTCAAGACTTCGACACCCAGTATCGACTTTGGCGACAGATATATCGCGCATGCACAGCTGTTTTTCCCCTGCATGATGAGGAACCGAGCCACTCTGGGGAGAAGTTTTCCTTCTTTACAATACAATATGTTTTTTAATTCTAATCTTCATGGTAACCGTATACTAGGATTAAAACCCATTTTTGTTTTATACGAAACAGTACTTTCTTTAGTTCATGCACTGCACAGCGATTCTCTAGGTACTGGAACCAAAAGTTTGCGGCAACTTGCTTTGCCTTAAAAAGACAATCAAATTGGAGCTGTAAATTGGCTCTATCACTGCCGAATGACACTCACTTAACACATTTTCGCCAAAAAAGTGATCTCTTCCGACGTCGGCCGCAAAACTCGCCTTTTTGGCGGATCGTTTGTATGAAAATTCCCGACTTTCCAGATTTTCACTAAAACACTTAAATTCCCTGACTTTTCCCTCAATTTTTTGGTCAATTTCCCTGACCTTTTCTGAATTCCCTGACTTTTCTGGTTTTCCAGGTAGCGTGGCAACCCTGATATAAATTCAGCAAAATTATTTACACATATACAAAATTTGTAACATTATTAATCATTTATCTGATGATATACCAAATTACACTGTTGCCAGTGTTTACTATGCTTGTAGAAGCTTACTAAAAAATGAAAAATCTGTCCATTTGGTTACTCCACGCTAGATTTAAGCAACAGGTTCTTCATAGCATAAAAGGATATAAAATTAATGTTAAGAAATTTAAGAAATATACAAATATCCAATACTTAAATTTGAACATGTAACTGCTGTTTGTTTTTAAAAGCTAAGCATGATAATTAAAATGGCTGACAGAAACACTACAATTTGGTATGTTAAAAATCCATCTCAGTGAAAATTTGGAACATGGAAAAATAAAATTACTAAATTTTATTATCTACAAAACAGCTAGAAATACAATAAAACTTTGACAAGGTAAAATTATATTTCCAACGACATATAAATACTAATACAAACACATGGTTTATATTACGAAATAATGCATGGCAAAGCTGCAAGAATATTCAGAATTCCATATAGAGAGGATGTGTATTAAATGGAAGACTTTTGGCTGCCTCAGTGATTGTTGCCACCTAATGGCAGTTGGCGAGTTCCCCCAATTTCACTAAATTTTAAAGAAACTGGCTGAATGGAATAATGCTGCTTCCCCTCCCAGGAAAGATAAATCTTTTTTGGTAACATCAATAAGAGGTAACTCGTTTTTTAAAGAGTTCCCCCCCCACGTGCGTGTGTGTGTTTCTAGTGTTTAAAACATTCAGCATAGGCCTTTCAGTTTTTTTTTTTTTTTTCTTGTGCTTTAGGTTTTGAGTATTGGTGAGCTGTTGGGGGCACACACAAGTGCTCTGTTGAATTTGTCTCTCAAATTTCAATGCACCACATTCAATTTGTTCAGATATTTTAATTGGATGAACAAGGCATCTTGTATGTCAAATAATATTTTGGCAAACATTAAATTTCATATTAAAGCATGAAATAAATATATTGTTTTGTGGAGTTATTGCAATGGCTTTTACAAGAAAACTGCACAACGAAATTCCTAACAGTGTACTGAAAGTTTAAATAATTATGGAAACTACTGCTGTTAGTAGTAGCAGTGAATGGATTCTCAGCTTCATGAAAAATATTTCTTTCTAGGTTCTTTTTTCACTGTTATTTATGTTATGTATTTAATCTTAAAATTTATTTAAAAACATTTTTGTAAAATAATTGCTTGTTCTTAAAACAATCAACTGAAGTGAAAGAAAATAATGGTGGCAGCTTCTGCCATTAATTGCACAACATAATTAATTTAATTGATATTTTTTGCAAATTCTGTAGTATTTTGAGTATTTTTTATATTTCAATTTTAAAGTTTTTTCCCTTTGTTCAACTACTATTTTTATTTTCAATTTTTGTTAAAAATAAAATATTTAGAATCTGATACTTTGTTTTTATTAAAACAAAGTGTGAGCCTTATGTTAAAATTTTCATAGCTTTGCTTTATGCAAACTGAAAACTCTTTCTTTTGAGAAATACTTTGATTAAAAGAATATGGAAAGACCACAAAACTACAGGTAAGCTATAATTTGTGTTCATAATCAGAATTAATATACAAATAAATTCTTTAGTTGTAACAAAAACACTGGCAAATAACTATTTTCAAATAATACTCAAAATTTAATTATAGAATGGTAAAAATGTGGAAAGTGAGACTAATATGCATTGACAACATAAATATGCTCAGCCCAAAATCGTACCAAATTAGTTATATTTTTAAACATGTTTAAGTTGAATAATTTAAGTACCATATCTGCTAGCATATAAGATGTACTTTTTTCTTTGAAAATAGGTCTGAAAAGCAGGGTGTGTCTTGTATGTCGATACTGCGTCATACATCAACACTCAGTTTTTGATTACATTTATTCCTGGAAATTTCCTCTATTTGAAGTTATGTGATGTTTTTCTTGTTTCCTTGTGGAGTGTGAGAATATTACAGTTACTTAGAGTTCAGTCAATGCATATGAGCTGTCATCGGCAATCACAGATCAGTTCGTTTAAATTTTCCAATTTTTGTGAATAGCTTTTACATGTGTAAAATTTCTAATGTTCAATTTTCTTAAATTTGCAATTTATGACTCAAAAACAAGGTCAGCATTGCTATAATATACAAAGAACATGCAAGCTACATACAAGCTACATGTTACATTACATACAAGCTACATGCGTTTGCATATTCTAAAGATGGAAACAGGGCTGCAAAGAGGCATTTTGGGCCACCCTAACTGAGAAAATGATAAGAACGTGGAGGAATCAGAAAGAGGATCTAAACAAAGCAATTTACAGTAAACATAACCTACGAAGCGAAACAAGAGACTCTTCATTTAGCTCTGGAGATGAGTGTCTGGGTTTTGATGAAGAAGATTAAAAGGTGTCCTTTTCCAGATAGTTTTGGGTACTTGTAGAAAGTATTACTTTGTATTTGTATTACTTTATATTTAAAATACTGAAATTTCATTATAATGATTTGTAATAAAATTTAATCCTTCAAAAATGTGTATAAAAAGAAGAGGGTGCTTCTTATACGCCGGCAAATACAGTAGGTATATATATTTTACACAAATTTAAGAGCTAGTGTTTAAATTTAAACATGAAGCATGAGCTTACCGAACAGATCTTCTGTATATCCTTCATTAAAGACTGTAGCATGGCTATATCTTTTAAGAGAATTGCACGAATAAGTAACTTACTATGAGCTGAAGATGATACATATGGAATAGGTATACTGAAAAATAAGGAAAAAATTAATATGTTATCAACATTCTGATATAATCAAAATACACATGCATACACATATCACTTAATCCTTTGAGAAGCAAGACCATTTTTACCAGTTCATGAGATTTTCTATCGCTTGTTACATATTACTTCTTAGCTAAAACATTTTCTTTCTTTAGTTTACTTAATAAACTAATCATCATCTAAATGTATCTAAATAACAAAGAGAATGTTATGAAAAAAAAAGAATAAAGCAACTGTATTAATCTAACTGATAAACAGTACGCAACACAACTCTTTCTGAGTATATCAAAACGGTCGTGCTGCTCAAAAGGTTAAAAATTTTGAAATGTTACACACTTCATTTCAAAAGTAGGATCCTTTTCAAACACAGTTACTTTAGGATTTGGATGTAAACGTTCAGCTATTTTCTTCAGTTTTGTTACAGGTTTTCCAGCTTTATTAGATACAATTATACGTCCACCTTCGAAAATTTAAAAAATATATATTTAGGCATAAAATCAATGAGGAGAAGATATATTTTATTCAATTTCAGTTACGAAAAACTGATTTCTATAGTTACCTTCTTTTTTCAGCTTTACTTTTACAGTTTCTCTTGCACGAAGTTTCACTCTGGCTGCTAAAGTTTTAACCTTCTTCTCAGCTAAAAAATTATAAAGGAAAGCAAAAAAAAAAAAAAGTTTCAGGGCTAAAATTTAGCATACAACATACAAAAAAATATTAAAACACATAAAACAATGATGATGCTTGGTAATTTTTGTCTAGATATCTTGAGATATGATTAAATTCTACGTCATCATGCCCATTTTTATACTTTCCTTTGATTATCATAAAAGTCTGACTCTGCTTCATAAAATCTTATTTTCCACTTGTATCACTAGAAACATCTCAGATCTACAAGTGTAAAGGCCCGTCTACACGAAGCGATTTTCTCAGCCGACTTTCTCGTAGAGCAACAATTTTAAGGATTTGCGCATGCGCCAAAAATTGGTCATGTTCTCTGCCGCGATTTCAAAACTGGTGTTCACTGCTCACTGGGGTATGATAAAATCGGAGTCTCTAGCCAATAAGATTGCTTTGAGTGATCATGTGCTTTTCTCCTCATTTGGAATAATAAACATGGCTGCATTTCTTTGGAACGAAACTCAACTAATAGATTTCTATAGAGAAAATGTTGTGTTGTGGGACACGAGTAATGTAAATTTTAAAAATAAAAAATTAAGGGATTCTCTTATTTTGATAAGATTTGTCTTCCCCATTACTTTATATATTCAAATATTTTCTAATTCCGGGTGAAAATGATTTTAACTCCCCCAAGAAAAGTTCCAAAAACTATTAATGATGCCACGTCATGGGTACTAGGTGAAAATATTCAGAAACTATTTGAAACTGTGGTCGCACGTATTGAAAAAATTTCAAAAAGCAAAATCTCCAGTCGAGAATAAAGCAGCGCAGAGACTCAATTAACTTCGCCGAAAATGGGAGTTAATCAGGTGACGAACTACATAGCTTTTCCGACGGTTTTTGCACGAGCGATCATAGCTTAGTGGTAAAGAGCAGACTAGGCTTTCCCCGTAAGTCGAGATCGTGGGTTCGATCCCCGCCTTAATTTTGGACTTTCTGCACATGGAAGAACTTTTTAATTTAATTTCTCCATCACTAAATTTGAACTGCATGACTTAAAAGTCACGTTTTATTGTGTGGTGTTTATTGAATTTTAATGTCTTTCTTTTTACTTTCCAAATGGCCGTTGGCACGTGTTTTAGATGTATTGGTCAAAAGTCACAAACTGAGTTTTGTGTTAATTGAATTTTGCGAAAGCAAATTAAAGCCCAATTTAATTCAATATTGCTAAATTTTATTCGCTGATTAACTCATAGAGTCATATAATCATAGTTTTCAGACTGTATTAGTTATTTAATTATGCCGATATTAGTTTTTTAATGTTCAATAAATATACTACTTAAGACTTTGTGCCTTTTTGATATTTCTTATTCAAAATTTTTGCACTGAAATTACACTGTTGCTTTGTAACGTAGTAATCTTCATTCTTTATTAATACTTTTTACTCATATTGGTTTGATATTCATGATATTATTGTCTATTTATTCATTAATAAAGGTTTTGATTTAAAGCACAGTAGTTAATTATTTTTTCTGAAATATGGTTATTTCATTATTTCAAGATTTAAATGCACAAATAGGAGTGCCAGAAAGTGAAATTTAAAATAAATAAATAAACTAAAAAAGGAGTAATAACTGTACTCAGTACACAAAAGAAAACTTTTTTTTTTTTTTTTTTAAATAATTTTCCTGCAAACTAAATTTAGCAAAAAATCAAAATCATGCGGCATCATGCGTAAATACTTTCCGAACTGTACTGTGTCTTCAATATGCAACTCCCGGAGCAGGGAATTACGAAGGCACTATGAATTTCTCGTCGTTTGACCCAATTTCTAGTCCAAATGCATTTTTCCCCCCTCTTTAGCAGAAGTTAAGTTCAAAAGTTCAATTTGTAGTAGCAATTTAAAATAGTCATCCATTATTTTGACTATTTGACAACATCGTAAGCTTTGTTTACAAATCGTAGACAGTGTGACGCTGTAGAGGGCAGGAACACTTCCTTTCATAGTGATTGGCTGAGTGAATTCCTGTACTAACGAGAAAATCGTTCTGTGTGGACAGGAGAGCTATCTCAGATATTGTCAGATAAGTCGGCCGAGAAAATCGCTACGTGTAGACGGGCCTTAACACTGTTTTTGAAAAAGCATCAAGTAAGTTACCTGTTGCAGCAGATCGTGTAAGTTTAGCAGATGGCTCTGGCCTCTTAGGACGACCTCTATTACGCAATTGTGATATTTTATTTTTCTGTTCATTCTTTAAGGTTTGTTGCTGCAATTTTAATATTTCCTCTTCTTCTTTACCCACAATAGAAACATCAACTAAGAATTAAAAATATTAAATTTACAATACTATAACAATATATAAGTTCAGACACAAACCATTAACAGAAATGCAAAAATATCAAAATTTCAGGGGGAAAAAAATTAAGTCAAACTCAATTCTAAAGGAAAACTATAGCAAGATTCTGATATTTCACAAATGCTCAATCCAGGAATGCCTGCAACCTGTGCTCCCTTTTGATAAACACAAATATATATATATTTGATAAACAATATATATAATAGGTGAAATTGATAAACAATATATATAAACAATATGTGTTTACAAATATATTTGATAAACACAAATATATCCGATATATTTTTCCTAATATGTAAAGGATCTACAAAGCGAAAGTATGTTTCGAAATCCGAAATCTGTTTATCAATTTCACGCTGCTCACGCGCAATAAATTGAAAGTTGATCTGTCAGCACAGTCCTTATCTTCAAGGCAGATGTTTTTATTTTATTTGGCTTATAATTTGTTAGTAAATGTAGTATTTCATCTCGATGTACTCCGTCTTTGATATGATTTAAATTAAGTTCCCTCATCATTATAATTCGCTTCCGATAGTGAAGAAAGTGACACACAGGTTATTGAAACGAAAAAATTTCGATTGACAAATAGTCGGTATTCTCGGCACAGCATTATAGCACTTGAACAGCGGAACTTTGAAAATAAACAAGAAATTTGTCTGTTTAAAGAATTAAGAGAAAGTTTATCACATGAAACAAAGCACTAAACAGCTTACTTTGAAAGAAATGTTTAATAAGTAAACAAAAAAATATTAAACTTTTTCTTTTTGTAAATTTTGATACCCTTTAGATCATAATTGTTCTTTATTTCATTAATTACGGTTTCATATTTTTAATTTTGTAATTTCTTCTTGCCATCTTACCAGATTTAAACTGATGATCTATAATCCTGAAAAATCGATAATCCGGAATCGCCAAAGTCCCGACGAGTCCGGATTAACGACATTTGACTGTACAATTAAATACATGAAATCGTAATTTCTAAAGAGCAATTGTGATCTAAAGGGTATCAAAATTTACAAAAAAAAAAAAAGAGCTTAATATTTATTTGTTTATTTTATTAAACATTTCTTTCAACGTACGCATGCGTAAAGCATACATTACGCATAGCAGAAATTAGAAAATTGCAACCAGAAAACTATTTTATGCGTATTCGTGATATTTATAATGGCGAGGAAATTGATTTAAATCATATCGGACTACATCGACATGAAACACTACATTTAGTAAGAAATTATAAGCCGAATAAAATAAAAATATCAGATCAACTTACAGTTCATCCCGCAACGCTAACGTCGCACCCCCCCCCCGCACTTCAGCGTGAAATTGATAAACAGATTTTGGAATGGTTAGAGAAACAAATCACCTCTCCGTAACTTTCTTCATGCCTTTATCCATTTTTTGCAGCAAGTCCACTTGTTGTTTCATGGACATCGAGACATGCTTTTGCTTTCTAGATCCTTTGGCACCTCCAGAATCGGAAATTCTATTTGACATAATCGAACGTTCAAGCTTACTTTTATAAAATTGGTCTAACAGCCTGCAAAAAATAATAAGCCGGATCCAATTCGAAGATTAAGGAACGACGCAATCTGCAACATTAACTGAAACAGATAATTAGATAATTTTAGCTTAGCTTATACCGTTTCCGTTATACATTAAACGTGCATGCGTAAACGTATTATGCGCATGAATCAACGCATTATGCATTGACGTATGTGCAGAAAGTTTGTAGCTTTGAGGTCCGGATTTATAGATCATTCTGGATTATGGACGTCCGGATTAAAGACTTTTGACTGTACAAATATTCAAAACTTTTTTCAATTTTATTATTATTATTATTATTTAGGTTGCTTAGCATAATTGACATGAGGTAGCATTCTCTTTCTATGGTTCGACATATTTTTCTGTACACGGAAATTAAGTACTTTAAGAAGCATTATTAACAAATTAAGGACCTATAGCAAATGGAAACTGAATCAATTAAAAATATATCTATCCTCAATCCACTTTGTAATACCATCCTAAAATAAAATAAATCCGTAATGATGTATTATTTTTAACATAATTAATTAATAATTAATAAGTTTGAGAATAAAATAAACTTCATGAAATTTATCAAGAACCATTAAATATTTTACATTTATAATAAATGGACATATTTAAAAGAAGATAAGTGTCATTTAATTTTCTTTGGGGGGGGAGTCGCGGCACGCAATGAACTGGAAGTTGATCTGTCAGCACTATCCTTATCTTCAGGGCAGATGTTTTTATTTCATTCAGCATATAATTCCTTACTAAATGTAGCATTTCATCTCGATGTACTCCGTTTCTAATTTCGACTATGCGTAATGTATGCATTACGCATGCGCATGTTGAAAGAAATGTTTAATAAAGTAAACAAATAAATATTAAGCTTTTTTTTCGTAAATTTTGATACCCTTTAGATCATAATTACTCTTTATTTCATAATATTTTTAATTTTATAATTTCTGCATGCCATCTTACCAGATTTAAACTAATAATCTATAATCCGGAAAAACCGATAATCTGGAATTGCCGAAGTCCCGACGAGTCCGAATTAAAGACTTAACTGTATATACAATTTTATTGAAATAATGATATATATATAAAGTTGCTCTGCAGAGTAAAATTATGTGCAGTTTTTAAATTTATTGTTCCGTGGTCCCTTAAGGCATTTTTCCGGTACATTTAAAAGCTAGACGAAGGCTGGCCAACGTAGCGGCCGGTTACAAACTTGTGTGGAAGAATTTTTACAGACACACCCAGCAAAAAAATCTAGAAAGGAGAAAATTTAGAATTTAGAGAAGGCATTGGAAATACAATTTAGAAAGTCAACAAGGCAGCAGAATTTAGAATCCTTATCCACAGATAACATCAGGTGGGAAAATGCCTAATGCCAGCACTGTGTATGGTGCATTAAGAAATATTAAATGAATCTTTTAAATTGTCAGTTTTCAATTTCTTTATTAATAAAAAAATTCCTTTCTATAATGCCTGTCCATGTGGTAAGTTTAGAAGCATTTCTGATATTTTCCATGCTTGTGTCTAGATAAAAGTAGAGAAAATAAAGGGAAAATAAACACATCAACACTTTACCGGCCGGACGTCGATTAATCGACGTTTTCTTCTCAGTGCATACCGGCCGGCCGTCGATTAATCGACATTTGCTCCCCAGCGCTTACTGACCGGTCGTCGATTAATCAACTTTTGATCTTTCTGTTAGATTTGGTTAGGTTAGATTGAAAAGTAGCAAGCATTTTGCATTCTTTATTCAGATAATCGGTGCTTTTTTCTAAGCTTTAGCCCTTAGAAATGAATGGAAAGGATAGTCTCGTCGAATTTTATCTCGGTGACCTGTCAGATTGTCTTCACTGCCGTTCAGCAAGTAGTACTGATGACGAAAGTGATAGCAGTAGTATAGCCATTCGAAAGCGACGTCTTGTACCGCTAATATACAGTGATTCAGAAGACGAGGACATGAATAATAATGTTGAAGACAACAATGATACATGGTCAACGAACGACAACAGTATAATTTTGAAACCTTTCGAAGGCAGCTCTGGCGTAAAAATTATGCCAAGTTCCTCTGAAAGCGTAATGGATATTGTGAATTTATTTATTGGAAGTGACCTGATTGAGCACTTCGTGAGGAAGTCTAATAGATATCATTATCAAATTGTGGAAAAATATAGAATTACATCAAAAACGAAAAAAATGGAAAGACGTCACGGTGACTGAAATGAAGAAATTTTTGGGCCTGATCATTCTCATGGGACAAGTAAAGAAGGACGTTCTCTACGATTATTGGTCTACAGACCCATCTATAGAAACGCCGTTCTTCTCGAAGGTTATGAGCAGGAACAGATTTTTACAAATAATGCAAAGCTGGCATTTTTGTAATAATAACGATATTTCTCCCAATTCACATAGGCTGGTGAAGGACTAGCCTGTCATTGATTATTTCAAATAAAAATTTAACAACGTATATACACAAGATCAACAATTGTCCCTAGATGAATGTTTAATTCCGTGGAGAGGTAGACTGTCAATCAAAATTTAAAATCCGGCAGAAATTATAAAACATGGTCAGTCAAAAGTCATTAATTCGGACACCCATAATCCGGAACTCAAAGCTACACACTTTCTGCGCATGCGTTGCGATGACGCAAGCGCATAGGCGTTTACGAGTACGCGTAAGACATTTACGGCTGCGAATACGCAATGTGTGCATGCGCATAATACATTTATGCATGCGCGTTTAACGTATAACGGACAGTATAAGCTAAACTAAAATTATCTAATTCAGTTAATGTTGCAGATTGCGTTGTTCCCTAATCTTCGAATTGGATCCGGCTTATTTTTTGCAGACTGTTAGAGCAATTTTATAAAAGTAAGCTTGGAACTTTCGAGTATGTCAAATAGAATTTCCGATATATATTTACTAATATGCAAAGGATCTACAAAGCGAAAGTATGTTCGAAATCCCAAATCTGTTTATCAATTTCACTCTCCTCTGGCGCAATGAATTGGAAGTTGATCTGTCAGCACTATCCTTATCTTCAGGGCAGATGTTTTTATTTTATTTGGCTTATAATTCGTTACTAAATGTAGTATTTCATCTCGATGTACTCTGTCTTTGATATGATTTAAATCAAGTTCGTCATTATAATTCGCTTCCGATAGTGAAGAAAGTGACACAGAGGTTATTGAAAACGAAAATATTTCGATTGACAAATTAGTCGGTATTCTCGACACAGCAATTATAGGACTTGAACAGTGGAACTTTGAAAATAAACAAGAAATTATCGTCTGTTTAATAGAATTAAAGAGAAAGTATTATCACATGAAACAGAGCAACTTAAACAACTTACATTGAAAGAAATGTTTAATAAAGTTAACAAATAAATATTAAGCTTTTTCTTTTTGTAAATTTTGATAC